TAGGGTATGTAAAATCAAAATTTTAGGTCTGGGATAGGGTCAGGGTTTTAAGGTCCTGGCGGCACACCCCTACCCAAGTTGGGGTGGTAGTACCCACCCCGGGCCGTCTGTCTAAAGTAAAATTGCTAGAATTATTCGAATTAAAGTCCGAGTTCCATCTAGGTTTTTGTTTCTCTCTCTTTCATAATCTCTCTCTTTCTTTTTTCTTTTCTTTTCTTTTTTTTTTTAACTGGCTTTCGCATTGTCATTGCTTTCTGTTATGCATTCATCTGGCTTTCTCATGTGTGAAGAATGCGTTCCTTATATTTTTACTATAACACTTGACTGGCTTTTTTTAACCTTTTTCCTTTGCGTTTCTGCATACAACTGGCTTTTTTCATGTGCTACTTTGAAATACTGCATTCCTTAGAATTTTGCTACAACATGCACTTAACTGGCTTTTTAAACTTTCCTGGCTTTTCTTTCTGCATTCATCTGGCTTTTTCGTGTGTGACAAAAAAAGTGAATGAATTCCTTGAATTTTAAATACAATATTTAACTGGCTTTTTGCAAAGCATCCTAATGGATTCTTGGGCTGTTCCAGTTGATGCTATAAAGTTGCACTTTACCTAAATCACGTAAAATAGAGCAAAGAACCAAAAAGAACAGACGCAGCCCACTCAATGGTCTTTGTCAAAATACATAGCTTGAATTTCATGAGATAATGTACATACTAAGTATCTACTTACAAAACAACTAGTTATTTTGCAAAACTACTCGATTGCTGGATGATTCTTTTGTAGAAACCCTTTTGTTTCAAGCGTGTTTCCGTATCGGAAACGAGTTTCTTATCAGATTTATGCAATTAATCAAATTGGTCTTCCAAGAATGTGATTTTATCATTACCAATTCAAACAAAAAACCCTGTTTTAGAGAGAGTGTAAAAAAATAATTCAGTTGTAGCTCAAAATATATGAATAAATGAAAAAAGAAAGAAAGAAAATGAAAAAGAAAGTAAAAGAAAGGAAAGAAAAGAGAAGGAATGAAAAGAAAA